TTTTTAAAAATTAGTAATTATTTTAACATTGGTCTTCAATAAACTTTATGTATTCTTTTAGTTGCTGGTCCTTTGTAATAATGGTACATTTAGCTGCTTCTTCTGTTTAATTAATGTGGAAGCTCTGCTAATTGATTTTATGTAATTATTTCTTTCTAATGTAAAATTTTTACAATATAAGTTGGCCTTTACCACTGCTTTTTCTGCCTCCCAAAAATTTTGATATGCTGTGTTTGAATTTGTTCAATTTAAGGTATTTTCTATTTGTTGTTTTTAATTGGTATATACTTAGGGATTTCTAGCTTTCATTGCTAATTTCAGTTGCATAACACATGTTTATGATATCAATCTTTTTACCTTTATTGAGATTTAGTTTATGTTCTAATGTTAAGTCTACTAAGACCTCAAACAGAATTTGGACAATTTACGGGCAATCAAATACAAGATCCTCTTGTTGTTCACATAATTTCAGTATTTTATCTTGCATTAACTGTTCCTAACCTGATAGATGAATTGTTAATTTCTCTTAACCTAAATCACCTTTTATGGAAACTTTAAATTTTTTGTTATTGATATTGGGGAAAATATTTGCCTGTCTACTCAGGCCTTCTTCAGATGCTACCTCTAGGCGCTTGCATGCCATGAGTTATGGTCACTGAACCCTGTAAGTCATTTCATTCAGACTGCTCTGTCCAGTAGAATTTTTAACTAGGAATGGGCTAAGTCATTGGTCAGTTCGTTGTTGTTGTTGTTGTTTATTTTGTAAATGATGTTTCTAATGAGACAAACAGAGTCCACTCTTCATGTAGAAAGTTATGAAACATAATTTCTACAGTACGCAGTATGGTACACTTGTAGCCTACTGAGAAGAAACCCTCATTGGAGAAAGGTTGTAGATAATTGCGACACTATTGGCAAGGCAGATTTGAGGGCTAACTTTTAGAAAAAGTTAAGAACTTAACTTAAGAAAAATGTTCTCACTTGTACCGTTTTAGTTTAGTGGTCAGTGAACAGTTTAAGTATGAGAGTTGGGCTGGGAGTGTGGCTCAGTGGCACAATCTGTGTTAACCTCCAGAGTCCCCAGGTTCAATCCCAACATCGCCAGCTGCTGCAAAACACTTAGGCATCTGTAAAGTGATTGGTGGTGCCAATTCTTGTCACTTCTTTACTGCAGCATGGACCATTCTGGTGCACTTCAATAGGGCATATTCTATAATTGTGGAATGAGTATATGAGGGATGCAAAAATAGAACTTTTTCCCATTGTGGTCCAACACTAATTTGTATTGGGCTATTTAGAGATAGATCGTTTCGCTATCAACTTGTGAAGCCCTCTTCAACAGCAAGCAGTGTTTCAAATTGCTTGAGATTGTCTTCTGAGAAAATAGTTTATGGAAGCTTATCTTTCATTCAATTTTAATATTTCAGCAAAAATGATTAGGGATAATGTAGTCCCGTTTGAGAAACTTGAACGCATAGACCCAAAATTTAGAGTTCATGGAATAAAGTGCTGAATTTTTCACCTGGCATCTCCTTCGGCTGTAGAGACAAAAATATCTGAACAAACTTCAGGTGGTTGTTTAAAAAGTGAAATGACAATATGAAGTAATTAAAACAGCATTTGCTACACAGTGAGAATTTTATTATGTATAATATATGTGTATGGTTTCAGACAAAAACAAAGGTAGCATGTAGCCTATAAATAAATAAAATATTCATATGTGCATATAGACATGTCTTTCCCCCATGTATCTGCCTCTGTCTGCTTCCTAGCTGAAATCTGCATACATTCCTATTTATTATTATTATTATTTGGTTTTTCAAGACAGGGTTTCCCTGTGTGACAGTCCTAGCTGTCCTGGAAGTAGCTCTTCTAGACCAGGCAGGCCTCGAACTCACAGGGATTCACCTGCCTCTGCCTCCCGAGTACGGGGATTAAAGGCGTGTGCCACCATCGCCCGGCCACATTCTGAGTATTGTTTTAATCTTTCCAGTTCCTTTTGAATTTATACTACCTAGAGGCATGACCAAAATGGTAAATATATTGAATGTCTACAAATAATCTTCCTTTTAATATTTCTCTCCAAGATCTGGAAAATTTGAACCATATTTATCATTTATTCCTGATTTTATAAATTTGCAATTCATTATTTTACCTCAACATCTATTTTGTTACCTTTTATATGTGATTAATTATAATGTTTGATCAAGAACAGAGGTTAATTTTTATAATTAATGAATGTAAATCTAGTTTTTAGACCCAAAGTCTTCCCATCTACTTCTCCATCCCTCTGATAAATTACAATGATTTCTAGGGGATTGCTTTTATGCTAATTTGGAACCATGTATAACTGTGAGGTAATGGAAATATGATCAGGTGCTAAAAAGCATTAATTGCATTAAAACATCACCAATCACTTCCTTAGGAATCATATACTCAAACTGTTTACAATATCTGTTGTTGAGTGTCCATTTTACATTAAGTATATTAATTAGAAGATGAATTTATCCATGTTATCATGTTATCTCATAACATAGTTATCTGTTGATAAGGATCCTTTCTTTGCTCTTCTGTTTCTTCATTACTCTTTCCTTTGATTTCTCCTTTCCATTCCTTAGGTTTCTTGTCTATTTGTCCTTTTCATTTTGATTCCAGGTGGCTTTAGCAAGTTAGTATTTGTCCTCTGGACTCTAAATGAAGTGACTGACCCCCAAGAGTAGATCACCGTGGTGCTGAATAGCTCCACTGCAAGATGAAGACTATCTTTCATGCTTATGGAGGAAAAAGAAGTACGAAACAAACAAACAAAAAAAAAACCAAAAAAAAAAAAAAAAAACAAAAAACAAAATCAAGAGAACCAGGGTTGTTAGAAGTGGCTACACAAGCAAATTCAAGGACATAGATAACTATTGGCTTTCCTTTATCATCTCAGTTTATTTGAGAACCATGTAGACAGTTTCCAATAAACAATATCTTGTTTTTGACTTAGGAAAATGCTAACATTTGATTTGCCCAGTGAGAATTGGTGAGGCAATTTGTTTCAATGGGAGGAAGCAATACAACATAGGGAAATAAGAGTCCTGATTAACATGTCATATGTAACCTTCGCTATGAGTGGTGTTCATATTTGCATGGTGGTAAGACTGCATAAGGAACACCTGATTGGTTTTGTTTGAGGGCAGATGAAATTTGAAAAATTGGCCATCTCTAAATTAGAAATGTATTTCCAAGGTGATGCAAAATATCTAAAGGGACATGATACTTGTGGGCAGGCTTCTGCCGTGACCCATGACTATCCAGTTGTATAAAACTTTTTCAAGGTGATAAATATCATTTTTCAAAAGCAAGAGGGAAGTAATCTATCAGGTCATTAGTTATTGAAAGAATGCTAGATTTGTTGAAGGAAGGTTATTCAGGGTAGTTCGAGCAATTGATTATAAAAGAGTTGCTTGTTTGAGTAGTCAAGCATGTGATTCAAATGTGGAGTTGGCTTGCCCTTGAATAAAATTTTACTAAGTACACAAATGCTGCTGAACACTTATGAAATACAGCAAATCCTGCTACTTTCATATTTCAAGATGACTAACATGTCAAGCATTTGCATTAGAGGATAGTTTCTACTAATATTCGATTTAATTTTAAGCAATCACTATTTTTATTAAGGAGGACTCTGTTTAATTCCATGGTATTGATTTCCTGCTCCATATCTAATTCCTTATTCATTTGGGGGCAAAATGGTAGAAGAGATAATGGATTGTGTTATTATTTTGTGAAGTGTATAGTAACTTAACCCTTTAGGAGAAACAAAAATATTCCTATTGCCACTAAATAAGTGCAATTAATTTGAGAATAATTGCTAGATATGTTAATTGTGTAAATTCTTAAATATACTCACTAGAAAGTTTTAAAATTAATGTCACAGAGCTACAAGAATACGTTAAATTTTCAAATAAAATATTTTTAAGAACAACATCATTTTACTATTTTTTGTACTAAGTTTGACATACAGGTTTTTATTTTAGTGATTAAAAATGGAATTTTGATGATTTTAAGAAAATGAATACAATATCCTGGAAATTGTTTTAATAAACTCATTCATGGGGGTTCAGAAAACTATAAATGAAATGGGTTTATCTGTATGTGTTTGTGTGTATGTATATGTAATATATAAAACCAAATGCAGTAAATGTGTCTTTGTTATGTCTCCTTAGTGGTTTTCAGATGGTAGAAGTTATTGATCTTGTCTCAGGTCTTAAAAATAAGTGCTTGTTGTAAGAATGTAGTAATAGGTGTGGCGGGGCTGCGTCCCCAGCACCCTGGCCACCTGGCTAGCTTATGCTCTGAAATAACAACACACAAACTGTATTCTTTTAAACACTGCTTGGCCCATTTCTATCTAGCCTCTTCTACGCTAATTCTCGCACCTGGACTAGCCCATTTCTAATTAACTGTGTAGCCCATGAGGTGGCTTACCAGGGAGATTCTAGCCTACGTCCATCCTGGGCCGGAGCTTCATCGCGTGTGCCTCAGAGAGCAGAGCTATCGCATCTCGCATCTGCCAGGGAGAGAGGAGCATGGCGTCTCTGAGCTCACTTCCTTTTCCTCCCAGCATTCTGTTCTGTTTACTCCTCCCACCTATGTATTAACCTATGAGGCCAAGCAGTTTCATTATTATAATTAACCAATGACCTTCTTCCATCATAAGAGGCCATAGATTCTTGGCAATTTCAAAAGTTATTTGAAGTCTTGTGTGTTCTTTCAAGTAGGAAACTATTTATATACTTAAACATTTCACTCACATGCCCATTGAACAGTCCTACTTAAAACTATATCCTGTAACTTTCCAGTTTTCTTTCTTATTCTCATTCTGCTGGGACACTCTTAATTGTTGCAAAGAAGTAGACATCTCAAATAATAAAACATTACTAGTTCTTTAGTTAACATGATCAAAGAAAGTAGTTTTTGACATCTAATTATGTCTTCTATTTTATTTCTTACAGAAATGTTGAATTCAGTAAGTCAGAAGACAAAACCATGGACTTTTAGCAATCAAAGAACCAATTAAGGTAATTCATAGATTATTATCGTTGAATATTTACAAATAAATTTATAATATGTGAACTCAAGTTGATATATGTTTTAGGAGACTGAGTAACATTGAAAATGCAGCATGTTTAAGTGTTTTTATAGATTTTGAAATGGCAGTTTAATATCTTATGTGTTTTGGGAAAATAGATTTTCTTTTCTGAACAATAAATAGTGTAGTTGAGCATACTTGCTATTGGGAAGAAATGCACCAATCTATATGAAAGATAATTTGGCTAAAGGAAGTAGTTTTTTTTTGTGGCTGCTGCTGTGGAAAGAACTGATGGCTACGTTACTGTATTAGCGTTATGTTAATAGTTATGAAACAACTATGCCAAGATTTTTGCTCCCTTTGATACATGGACACCAAGACAATGCATTGATGTCATTCTTGTATAATTTGTTCATTTGCTCTCAATTTGTATCCATCAATGAATATAAAGTTAATAAATTAAGTATACTTATTTTATATTATCAAGATGTTTTATATATAAAGCAGATTATTTTCAAATCTGACCTATTTACTACAAATATATTTATTAAGTTCAACATGAAAATTTTCAAAGTATAATATTAGGCTGTTACATATTTTCTCAAGCAAGTCATAAAATGTAAAGCAGATCTTTTTACTGATATCCAATGGTAACAATTAGGATTTCTTTCTTTGTTGTTTTTGTTGTTGTTGTTTCGGGGATAATTTCTGAGTAGGTACCCCAATTCAAAATCATTCTCCCTGAGTCTCCTGAGTTCTACGATTGCAGCTGTGTACAACAATGCCAGGCTTCTATTGTCTTTTTGGAATATTCCAATTAATTTTTGTGAAGGAACTTTAAGTTATTATAAATATGCAGAAAAAATCAGGGCTTCTGATTTTCTTATTTTTCTTATTAACTGATTAATATTTCTTAAATTTTGATTCATTAAAATAGTAGTTATTTACTATAAGCTATTACAATGTATTTTCCTAGTTTAGAATTAACCTTAAACACAGTCAGTGACGTAAGATTATGGAAACATTACAAATGCCTTTATGGACAGTCTATTTTGAATGTTGTTTAGTAATTTAAATGTTTTTTTAATTCTTAACTTCTTTGTCACTGATTTACCTCTCCATATCATTTGCATATGTAAACAACATTCATCTTCTTTTTAAAAGTAGGTATGATTGAGTTACTCGGAATTGATTAGCTTATTACGTTAATATCTAAATGCTGTAGACATTCATCTACTAAGTTAAAACTGAAATTAGGTCACTGATACTGTAAAATAAAGTAATTTAACAAAAACAGGCTTACTCAATAATTCCTTTAAAAATATTGAATGTAGTATTACCTAGAAACTCTCATTAGAAGCTAGTACATGACAGAGGGTGATGTTGTTTTTAAACACAAGGATTTAAGGCAGAGTCAGGCAGATCTTAGAGATATTTCCAGGCCAGCCAGAGTTACTCTGTGAGATATTTCCTTAAGAGGAAGATGACGGAAGACATGAACAGAGTTGCTTCAGTTGTAAACAGACAGAAACAAACAGAAGAACAGATTATGTGCTGATAACCAATTGGTTATCAGATTATGAACAGATAACCAATCTCTCCGTGGACAAATGTGTCGGTATAGTTCCAGCCTATTTGCTTCCTGCCCCTACTTGCTTCATTGTGTTTATAAATATAGAGGTGCATAATGTATATTAAACTTACCATTTAAAAATATGCAGTCTGCTTGTCAAAATAAATAATTGCCAACCAAATCAAGAGACTGAACATATTCAGCACACCAGATACCACTAACTGCTCCTTTTGTAGCCCACCCGTTAGCTCAGTCTCAGTATCGGGAGCCTCTAGACTCCATTTTTATATAAGACACGCAATGCAAACTTGAGAAGCATGGGGAAGTGCTGCTGTGCTGGAGAGAATCTGGACACATGACCTTTCATGTGTTATTACCATACCTATGCTTCTGTTCCCTCTTGTGTAGTTAGAGGTTAATAAAATTTTCTACTACACAACATTTAGAATAGAGTTCAGCATGTCCGAAATACTGTATCAGTGCTTGAGACTCAAGAAGGACACATTGGAGAAGGCATCCTTTCTGTAGTAAAGGTATTCTTTGAGTGTGTTTAACCACACAACATCAAATGAAAGTTTTCAAAACAATGAAGGGTGTTTAGTAAAACCGTTCTCACACAAAAGTATAGTTGTTGCCGCCACTCTTTCAGTTCCTAGGTATAAACACTTGGAGTAATGCTGAGACAATTTCCCACAGATGGCGTATCCATCAGCAGGTTCTGCCAGACTTCTTATTACCCCCTTGGATACTGCCTTGAGTCCAATCTCAGCCCTGTGCTGTGGAGACAAGAAGCGGTATGACATGTTTTTCTTTGGCCCATCTTTACCACCTTTGTCATAATTCACAACTAGTCTCTGCCCCCTGGGCTCTCCAGCTGGCTTGGCTTCAACATGTGCTGAAAACCTCCTCCACCAAGAGCTGTAGCTCTTGTTTTCCTTCTACTCACTCTCCTCGGATACGCGTATCTCCTTACCTAGAACTCCCCTTTCCATGCTGGCCTTAACTGTACAAAAGTTGAAAATTGTAAGTACCTAAGTACCTCTGTGGCACTGCCTCTTTTGTTTTATGCCAGGATTTTTTCCCTTGCTTCTTTAAATTAGTTCCTGTACGGTCTCAGCAAGATATCTCCTATAGTATAGTGTCTTCTTGCCACGCAAGTGTAGGAATTTGGATAGTGCATATTTCATGACCCAGTACTGTGAAAGCAGAAATGGAAAGATCCAGAGAATGTCTGTGTGCAGCAAGCCTAGCCAAAAACATGGACTTGTTTCTGTCTTGAAAACATAAATATGGAAAGCAGTTGAAGAAGACACCCAATGTCTAGTTCTGATCTTCACAACCATGTACACACAGCATACATGTGTGCACACATATACTGATAAGACTGATAAGTATATATACACCATACCCACACCAAACACAAGCATGCACACACACACACACACACACACACACACACGCCCACGATAAGTTCAGGTATTTAGGAAATATTTCCTATTTATAGATGCCTATTTCTTCTTTTATGTATCTTTTATGATGGATCACTGGCCTTGGTCATGGACTCGTAAAAGACAGCTGGAGATATCATAGATGACAATGTGAATATAAGACATTGATTATCTGGAATATTCTTGTAATAACTCAATTGTTGTCAAATGAAAATCCAGTTTCAGGCAACTGCTGGGACTGAGTGGTGGTCACACCTGTGAGATTGTTTCCAAAGTGAAGTTGACAGAGCTTCATGACTGCATTTGTAGGATGAGAGGAAAGCAGATGGCAGGAATAGGTATCAGGATGTAAACTGACCATGCTTTTAGTGGTACTGTGTAGTTATCTGTGTAGATAGCAAAGTTTAAGGTTTCCTTGAATATAAATATGTATGTGTGTGTGTGTGTGTGTGAGAGAGAGATATAAGTAAATAGTTCATAGATAATATATAATTTATTTTATATAATCATATAATTTATTATATGGAGTTTAAGTTTTGTAATTTTTAACACATAGTCACATATTTTATGCACTATGTATATAAATACAAAGAAAAAGTGATATACTGTTTTATAGAAATAGCATCCAGACTGATGCTAGTCTTCATTTTTAAGTAGAAATTTTTCCTGAAGATATATAATGCGTCAGACTTAAGGTCACTGGTGTCTCTTACTTTTATTCATTTGTTTGTGGAAAATTAAAACAAATTCGATTTACTAGGAAATTCCATTTCTAATTAATTTCAAGGCCACAGAGAGAGTGCAGGATTCTGAAGCTGGCCAGGGGCAGAGTGAAAGCTCATTGATTATTCATATGCTCATTCCTACTTATTCCATGGTTAGTGGCTGTCACACGCTGTCAGCCACATAGTTAGTGCCCTTCAGAACTCATGTGCGGACTCGGCAGCCTTTGGAAATCTGCATAAAGATACATCTGACATTGGATAGATAGCTGCCCGTCAGTAGCAGACAGCTGAAACTGTCAGCCATTTACACCGCAGAACAGACCGCCATGAAACAGTGATCAGGAAGGCAGTATTGGCAGACAATAGAATCACTTACTAACCCAAACAAAACAATAAATCGGTTTTCACAGTTTCATTTTGTTTTTTTTTTAAACAAAACATTATGAAATCAATACCAGTTACCAAGTGTGCTGGCATCACTTTCTTTGGTGTACATAGCTTTATTTATGTAATATTTAATGTTGAAAATTGTTTTAAAATATCTAAACTTTGTCTTGCTTGGGTATGTATGTATGTATGTATGTATGTATGCATGTACATGTGTGTATGGATTGAATGTATTGCTTGATTAATCATAGAAGTACTAGAGATAGAATTTAAAAGCACTTCGCCAGCAAATTATAACCATGGCCCTCTTTGTACGAATTTTTAATACATATTTTAAGGGAATACTCTCAAGGCTGCTGTAGCTGGTTTGAGTGTATTCTGGAGCTCACATACGCCTTAAATTCAGGGTCTTTCTACCTTAGCCTTGTGTTTTCTGTCTTGAGAAGTATGCACTACGGCCCTGTGCCACCAGTCCTGTATTGAATGTCTAATTTGGGGGAAGATAGGATCTCACAAGAGGGAACATTTTCTCATGATTATTTTTGAGTACATACATTTGAGCTTCCTGTCTATTCCAGAGTTTGAAATTACACACTTTAAATGTTTGAGAATTTTAACAACCATGTGTTTTTAAAACTGGAGCTAATGTTTATCTACTTCCATCTATAACCTTTGTTTTCTCTTTGTAAATTGCTGTGAAACATAAGGGCTGTGGAGAAGTCATAATTACCAAAACAAGACACCAACCAATTTTATCACCTAAACATTTCCTCCTCTTTCTCCCGGTTAATCAAAACCTGTGTAATCCTCTTATCCCTAGATTTCATAGGTTCTTCTCAATTCATATTTTTAAATT